ACTCTTTCCACACACATTATGGTGCTTTTCATCTTTCACAAGCACAATGTTCAGTTATAACCAGAACCTAGTCACCCTAATATCATTTGTCAAAACTCCATTGGTTACACTGTGTCCTCCAGTGTAAGAAATTACTTAAATTTTCTTTTTAAATACTCCGTGATTTCAGTGGTAGTAGCATATTTTAAAGGTGAGCACATGCATAAATCTTTGTGGAATCAAAGCTATAGCTCAAACTCATTAACACACAGAGACTATTATAATTCATGTTACTGTTTGTATTACTGTAGTGCTAAGTGGCCCTGTTGAGGACTCATTGGGCTAAGTGCTTTATTTATATTCCTCTTCCATGTAACTTACTGTTTAAAAGACAAGGCAGACAGGGAGTACAATTACCATTTTAAAGATGGTAAACAGAGGTAGAAGGAGAGTAGGTAACTTGCCTGGTATCACTCAGGAAGTCTGTGGCATCACCATGAATTTAACTGAATATCTTTTGAGTGCTAGGCCAGAGCTTAAACCACAAGACCTGTCCTTTCCTGTAACTCTAGTTGATTTACTTCTGTGCATAAAACAGCATGTGCTTAAGTGATGGTAGGACCAGGGCCTAAATAAAACCAGGTATGGGGGAACAGTTCAGGAGAAGGATCTGGAAGTTACTATTGATAAAGTAATTAAAGAAATATTTCCAAAAGGAAGGTAGAGAGAGGAAGAGAAAGATTGACAACATAAAGTGGAATGGCCTTTGCAGAGACTTAAGCACTGTTATACAATCATCAGAGGTGGAGACAATTGGTTGATGGGCATCAGTGATGGTTCTGCAATGACCACTGCAGTTAGGTGAGTGATGATGATTTCCAAAAGAGCTGGGCAAGGAGAGAGAGGGATAAGGATAGTTTTTAAGGAGAGCGAGCGAGAACAAGCAACTAGGTAGAAGTAGCTGGATAGAAGTCACAAAATCAAAAGTGGGAGAATGAAATGAAGGGCTGTGAAAGGCTGGAGAATTGGGATGCACAGAAAGAGCAGGAGAAATAGACGAGGCAATGAAATGTAAGAAAAGACATAAAAGAATCTGTCTCTCTGTTTTGTTAGGAACTGGGTTCTAGAACCTCCCATGTTTTAGATGAGTTGATGCAAGAGTTATTTCTTCAGACTCTACCTACCAAGACTGATCTGTCTTTAAGAGAATGTGAACTTCTAAAAGAAGAATGTCAGGAGAATTTGATCCTTATGTTAGAGAAATGGGACAACTGTAGACAAAAGCAATGGAAGCTCTTCCAAGAACAACTGCAACAAGAAAAACAGGTATGGATTAAAAAATTGTGCCAGATATCAAAATTCTCAAGTCACAAACTATTTCATACTTATAGTCTGTTATCACTAATTTTTCAGTGTTCTCCATAGAACCACTTGCTTTGGCTTTCACTTAATCTGTCCTTTTAAAACACATTAATGGTCCTGTTTGGTTATATAGCACCTATTGATACACATTTATATATGTAGTAGAGAAACAATACTATCTGCAATGATCTCATTAGCTGATTAAATGCATGTAATCCAGTGAAGTTGGATCAAAAAATAAGGTAATGATTAAATTAGTATTTTTTTATTGCCAACTGCCACAGTTGTTTAAGAAACTCTTCTTCCCAACGATTTTTAAAGGTGCTGCCATGAAAAGCGATATATATGTGAAATCTTACTAAGTTTCCTATTAAACTAATTGTGTGATTTTCCATACAGTAGTTTTACATTCATTTAGAAAACTTGATACTATAAAAATATTAAACAATAAACTAAGGGAAATTCTTAGGTATGCTCCACCTGCCTTTCTGTGATTTTTTTTTTTTTTTAGTTTATCTTTTTTTCATCAGAAAGTGGAACTAACTAGCCTGTTATTTGAGCTGTTCTGAAAACAAAAGATATTTTAGTCACCTATTATGTTTGTGTTGCACACACATTTGGAACTCCAAAATGTTAAAATACACTAAAAACTAGGTTCCAATCCTGCAAATACTTAATTTAGTTTGAGTGCTAGAAACTGAAATTCTAGGGAAGACTAGTAACTAATTGGAGAACATCTGACTTCATAACGTTACATCTTTGCAAGTGTCTTAATCTACTTAGCAAGAATCATATGCAATCCGTATATTTTCCCACCTCCTTTTTATATATATTGCTCTACCCTCTGATTATATGTTGGAGAAAGTCACTTAAAATATGAATAAAGCCAGTACTAAACTGCATTCCATTTGGCAGAGCGACCCAGTCTTTGGGTACTTTTCAAAAGGTCATTTTAGCTCTTTGAATGAAAGGTAATCTAATCCTGGGTGACATCTTTGAAGCCAATAAAGCTACAAAGGAATCAGGAACTAATCCAGACCTCAGTGAATTCAATGATAAGCCTCTCCACTTAGTTCAGGAAGCTTTGGATCATGCCCATAGTGACAAAAAGGGAGATGGGAGTGTGAGCTCAGGGTCATATATTTCATGAGTCAGATTTCCCTCCACCTGAATGGATTTCAGCCCAAGGAAGGTTGTGACACAGAAGTGATGTCAAACAGCTGTGCATGGTCAGGAAAAACAGATGTTTGAAAGTAGTGTCCAGAACTAGAAATACCAAGACAATGTGGCATTTTAGGGAGGAATAAGCAAGAAGGCAGAGAAATTCACAATTATAAGTGGAAGACAAAAGAGGAAAGGAAATTAGAAAATGGATCAAAGAAGGATAAAGAAAGCAAAGGAGAAAGAGAACAGTCTAGAATCCCTTTATAATAATGCCATTTAGGCCTCCACAAATCCTAGTACAACTGGCTTTCATTGACTTAGAGAGCTAATAGGATAGTTCCATTACCTCATCTTCTAAAAATCGGAAGTTAGTTAGTGACAAAATGTATTGAGATATCAAGCTTGCTCTGCAAACTGCCTTATTGCAAAGTCATTTATATTTATCCTCCGTGACCTAGGGGCCTCCAGCACATTTTCACAATAATTGTATCTGTGTGAAGCATGTGTATGTGCCACTGCAAGGTAAACAGTACACTACATAGCCTCCTCAGTGGAGTGAAAATTGTGGATAACAGCTGTTTAGATAGCACTGTAGGCCAGAATTCAGGAACCGTTCAGTTCAATCCTGAGCATGTATTCCAAATTTAAATGAGGTGGTTGAAGACCCTCTGATTTTAGTAGGATTGCCAAGTGTCCGTTTTTGAACCAGACAGTCCAGTATTTGAGCTCTCTGTTCAGGAAACAAATTGAGAAAATATAAACGTCCGGTATTTTTTAAATAAGATGTAATGTAGATTGTGATGTAATGTCAAGTGTGTCTGGTATTTTTATTGAAACCATCTGGCAACCCTAGGTTTTAGTGTATAGCAACATACATAATGGGATGGCTAGGAAAGGATAATGTCTCATATCTTTCTTTTGGAAAAGAATAAATGCTATAGCAGACAGTTATATGCTATAGTACTATGTTATCAAATTATAGTATAGGAATATCTATTATAGATCACATCCCTCTCTAAAGCACCATTGACATTTTACAGGACATTTTCAATGTAATACTTGTCTATGCAAGGGGCTTTCACAAGGGTCTGTCCAAAATTGTGGATCAAACCTCCACAGGAACAAAGGGCTTGTCTACATTGGGAAATGGACAGGCAGAAATGTGCCTGTATAATTATACTGCTATAGCTGGTGTAACTGTTCACGTGGATGCTCTTTTTCAAGATATGGGGTGTCTTATTCCCCATTTATTGTATGACTCTTTGAAGTGGTTTAAACTAACTCCCCAAAAGGGCACTCTGAATCCCCCCCAAGTGAGCAAGAAGGTGTCTACCAATTTGCTGTAGCAGTGTAATTATATCAGCATAGGTGTACTGAGTACATTTCCCTAAAAACTATCAAAGGTCTCATCACATTCCATTCCAAATGTAAGGGGCATATCTTTGACCTGTCTTCTCTGGGGTGCATGTTTAAAAAAAAAAAATCACCAAAAAACAAAACCCAGCTAAAACAAAAATTTCATGACCACGCAATTCTTCCCCTGAAACAAGGATGAGAGAATGAACCATGTTATAAATGTTAGTCATGTCACCTGGGCCTGTTAACTTTCCTCTTTTAGTGTATCTTAAGATACGCAACTCCAGCTACATTAATTATGTAGCTGGAGTCAATGTATCTTAAATTGTGTTTTGGGGCCAGCGGGAATTTAGCTCCCGTCAACTTCCCTCACTCCTTGTGAGGAGCAGGACTACTGGTGCCAATGGGGGAGTCTTCTCAGTTCAAATTAATGAGTCTTCACTAGACCCGCTAATTTGAACCCCGGAATATCAACTGCGGCAGCATCTATCTTCCATGTAGTGAAGACATGGCTCTGTTGCCCTACTGGAAGGCATTCAGCTACTACAGAGCTAAGGATGAGATAGGAACTAATATATATAATAGATTTACATATGTTTTAATTTACCAGGCATAATTATGTATGGCACACTGTTCAACTGCATTTTGAAGAATATAAGAGCAAATGATTAGCTATTCTACATCATTCTTTAGTCTCTTCAATTCCAGAGTATTTTCCTAAAGGGATTGTAGCCTTTTTACCAAGGTGGTTCAAGAGGCCTTTAACATGTAGTGTATTGTATTGCTTTTGAGTGTATGTTTCTTTGCATTTAGTGAATTAAAGCACATCTGGGATGGGAGTCCTTTAAGGAAAAAATCCTATTTCATTGCTTTGTGGGGTTTTTAAGAGACATTTTGATAGTTTAATTTTGCCTGGCAACCTACAGGAAACAGGTGCAAATAGGAATAAATAAAGAACGAAAATGAATGTGGAACAATTTGTTTGAAAGCCCCCTAGCTCACAACTTAGAGAAAATAAATTAAGATCAGTGCATTGGTTATACACAACAGGATGCTGGGCTTGGTTAACTTTGTTACTTGGTATTCAGTATGCATCTACAGGCTGGTGGAGCAATATTCCATCCCGCTGGTGTTCCTAAAAGCATATGTGCTAAAAATGTCAGCATCCTCGCTTCCTTTTTAAATTCTAAACTGAAAAGGGGGGGTGGCGAGAGAGAACATGCAAGTGAGCTCAGAGCTGTGTTCAATTTGCCGCTGTGTCTGAGAGTAACTCACACAATTGGATGGGTTTGATTGAATAGTGGAGAGCTATTCCACTTTCCCGTTGGCTGAGAACAGAGCCCACAGTTAGTGATGCTCCAGCAGATCTCATAATTGGCCTGTTGCCAGGAAACAAAGCTGCAGCAAAATGTACAGAGACACAGGAGGAAGAAGAAACTTCCATCAATGAGCCTTCCAGATCCCTAGTTTGACTCCTACAAAGGTCAGGTAGAGTCTGCGTTGACAATCAGTTTTGACATATTATGTGCGTCTTACCTCCCTCTGTCAGCCTGAGATTGGAATGGCTCCTCTTTTCAAGTAATCTCTAGCATGCCTTTTAGTTGCATCCCTCTCAAACCTTAATACACCCACTGGTCTACACTAGGGCTTTATTCCAAAATAACTCCCCTTAGGTTGAATTAATAAGCAGAATATCCACACAACCAAGCCCGTTATTTCAAATTAACAGGCCGCTTATTTTGAAATCTGTACTCCTGCCTTCCTCGAAGAATAACACTAATTTTGAAATAGTTCTTTCAAAATAGTAGTAGTGTGTATACTCCGGTGCCACTATTTTGAAATAACTACTCGCCCAAGTAAGTCAAGCTAATTATTAAGGTTCAGAAAAAGGCAACAATAATGATTAGGGGTTTGGAACGGGTCACATATGAAGAGAGATTAAAAAGACTTGGACTTTTCAGCTTAGAAAAGAGGAGACTAAGGGGGGATATGATAGAGGTCTATAAAATCATAACTGATGTGGAAAAAGTGAATAAGGAAAAATTACGTACTTGTTCCCATAATATAAGAACTAGGGGTCACCAAATGAAATTAATAGGTAGCAGGTTTAAAACAAACAAAAGTTTTTCTTCACACAGCGCATGGTCAGCCTGAGGAATTCATGAAGGTTAGGTCCATCAGTGGCTATTAGCCAAGATGGGTAGGAATGGTGACTAACTTACACAGCTCCCTAAGAAGCTGGTACAGCTATGGAAGCTCAGTGCAACAGAGAAGCCAGACTTCTCTCCACATCTCCCCTTTCAGTTTGCCTGCCAAACACTTCATCTGACTATGGACCAAATTCTCTTTTGACTTTGGATGTCTCTTGACTGTGTGTCGCATCCGTGGTCCAAAACAACTCTGAAGTGGTGAATAAGTGGATTCCTACTGTAGCCATTGAGGCAGCAGGTTGACCTGGAGAAAGGGGACATTATGAGGGGTCCCTGGACTCCTGCATAGCCCACTTGTTGTCTTTGGCCATTGATATCATTTAAAGAAGCCTCTATATAGCTCTGTTCTGTGGCTGGAGGCTGTACCCGACCAGTGCAGAGCTAACAGAGGATAGGAGCACAAAGGAGGCATCATGCCACTTTTGTGCACACTCCCTTTTTCACTGATGTGTTCCTCTCTTTTATGACTGAGGATCTGGACCTACATGACTAGTTCTTTATTCAAGCCTGTTTGCAAAGGTTTTCATTGAGAGGAAACTCTGGACACAGCTTCTCAATTGTCCTTTTTTCCAAGGAGTCATCGCAAGAATCTTTATCCTTATTTAGGTTTAGATTTTGTGCTAGATGTTCTCACCTCAGAATATGACACACTCATTTTCTCTGAGGGGAAGTTTACTTACCCTTATACGTGGATTTGATTCTCAACAAACAATAAATAGCAATGAATGTATTTCCCTTCTTAGCAAGCATTCTGAGTCACTTGGCTTGTTTACAGTCTGTTTGGAATGTATTGGAAAATATTGAGAGTCTCCTTGTTAATTTAATCCATCAAATATTAGAGAATACATTTCGGCCTGTAGCAACAGAAGAACCTAGGGCTTAAGTTCCAATGTACACAAACAGTATGTTTACTGCTGCAAAATACTAAGTTACGGACAATCTCTGCCCAAAATCTTTACAGTCTAAAAGACAGACATAGATCAAACAAATTGCATTGGGAGAGCCAGGGAAGGAGGAGTTCATGTACATTTTATGGCACAGATAAGTAAATTGAGACACCAGTAAATTAAACTCTGTTCAAAGCAACACAGTGGGTAAGTGATAAATTGAATATGTAAGTCCAGACCCCATTCTCTTTTTCTAACTAATAGACACTCTCTTCCTTACCTTGTCAACTGTATGAAAGGGATAGTATTAGTGTAGCCTGTTGGTCTCAAGATATTAGAGTGACAAGGTGGGAGAGGTAATAAAATATGGTCCAATAAAATATATTACCTCACTCTTACCCTTGCTCTCTGTATGGAATGTCGTCTGATGCAAGAGGACAAAATTTTCACCTTATACAGGGAAAGTAAAAAACACATTGGCCTTCAGGTGAGATTTTATTTTGTGTTCCCCATTCCCTCCCCCCCCCAAAAAAAAACCCATCCCCATCTTTGAAGCTCACAGTCATCATTAATTAAAATATGAGTGTGCCTGTCTGACAGAAGGTAGCTAAACAGACAAATGGAGATCACCAAGTCAAACCAACATAAAGCACATCTGAGCCCTGATCCAAATCCTACTGAAGTCCGTACAGAGACTCCCTTTGTCTACATTTCAGAATAAAATACCAATTCACAGTATAGCACCATTGTAAAGTAATTAATATGAGGAAATTTAATATTGTGGGTTTCCTCCCTCTTCTCTTAGCTATGGACCAAGGAGTATGCTTTATCTGCTGTGATGCAAAAACACCTGTCTGAGAAACACGAGAAGATTATTCAAGGTGTTTTAAGCCGATTAGGTGGCCTCAGTGAGGAGTGAGTATGGTCTTATCACTAAGTAATGCTGTAAAACTGCAGGTGTAACAAAAAACTCAAAGATAATCCAGGCTTCGGTGGGGAGTGATGAAAGGAGACTCTTCAGTTAGTCATACAGAGAGAGAGAGAGAGAGAGAGAGAGAGAGTTACCATAGGTTTTCAACTGTATGATTTATTTTCTCACTAGCTAAAACTGCAAGAATCCTATGACAAAGACAAGCAAATATCCTTGCTGTGTCATTTTAATGCTTACTAGTTGATTCTGTTGGGTTAAACAGTGACAGACCTTCCCTAATAGAAGGACAATCTATGGTTTATCAGAGGCTTTGTTCTCAGTACGTTTACTCTGGTTTCTGAATCTTCCCTAACTTTTCATTCATAAGTTTGACTTCTCTCTAGGAACTGAATTTCTCTGTCACTTTATAGCAGGGCAGGGCTCCTGCTATGCGCTGACCTTTTCCATAGCCTCCCATAAGATGAAATGCCCAGTAAACTGCTCTTTTCTCTTGACCTTTATCTTCGGTGCTTTCAACTTGGTTCACAACTATCCATATCTGTTGATATCACTTATTTCTTCCTGACCACTCTTCCCGTCTTGAAGAAAATGTACAACTTCATCTCCTCTCTTTCAGCTAGATATCTCAGGGTATGTCTACACTACCACCCTAGTTCAAACTAGGGTGGTTAATGTAGTCATTCGAAGTTGCAAATGAAGCCCGGGATTTAAATATCCCGGGCTTCATTTGCATCTTGCCGGGTGCCGCCATTTTTAAATCCCCGTTAGTGCGGACTCCGTGCCCGCAGCTACACGCGGCATGGAGTAGGTAGTTCGAATTAGGCTAATTCGAACTACCATTACACCTCGTTCCATTAGAAAGCCTAATTCGAACTACCTACTCAGTGCCGCATATAGCCGCGGGCACGGACTCCTCACTAACGGGGATTTAAAAATGGCGGCACCCGGCAAGATGCAAATGAAGCCCGGGATATTTAAATCCCGGGCTTCATTTGCAACTTCGAATGACTACATTAACCACCCTAGTTTGAACTAGGGTGGTAGTGTAGACATACCCCCAGAGAGGTACAGTTCCCTTGGGCAGAAGTAGCCTTTTCAATCAACTCAACTCTGTGTCTTTTTTTATTGAGACACCAAAAGCACATCTACACAGCAGTGTTATTTAAAAATAACAAAGTGAGTGTCTACGCAGCAAGCCTGTTATTTCAAAATAATTTTGAAATAACGGGCAGCTTTTTCTAAATTCTGTAACCCTCATTCTATGAGGAATAATGCCTATTTCAAAATAAGTGGCCTCCAGAGCTTCCCACAGGTGCCCAGGTGGCCACTTTATCCACACTCATCAGAACTCTATAGTTCCCCTTGCGCTGCAGCCCTTAAAGCTGCAGCCACAGGAGAAAGGGCTTGTGGCACAATGCAGGTCCTGCCAGCTATGTGCCACATAGCAGTAGCCACCATCGCTGCCTTCCGTGCTGCTATGGAAGACCCAGCATGCCTCCTGAACCCTCCATGGATGCCAGTAGTGCTGCAGGCAGCTCCCAAGCCTCTGCCCGAGGACAGAAAAGGGTCAGGGTGTGGAGATCCTGGATTTCATTGAGATCTGGGGAGAGGAGGCTAAGCTGCAGGATCTCCATACCAGACGCAGGAATACCAAGAGCTATGGCTGGATGGCTCACAGCCTTGGCCAGAGAGGACACATGTGCCCCCAGGAGCAGGTAGGTACATATGAAGGGCAAGGAGTTCAGGCAGGACTACACAAAGGCCTGGGAGCACAGCTCCCACTCAGGGGCAGTACCCCAGACCTGTCCTTACTTTGATCAGCTCTACCTCATGCTGGGAGGGGGGCAGGAGTATCTGTCCCTCCTATCCTCTCCCTTGTGGACTGTGGGCTGGTGATGCCCAGGAAGAGGAGGAGGAGCAGTCTGCTGACACCACCATGCCTAGGCAGGAGTTCGGCCAGTTCCTGGAGCCAGTACCACCTTCCCAGAATGTCACCCAGGGATTGGATGATGGTGGAGAAGGCCCATCAGGTGAGCTTCATTACTTTCCCTAGACACACAAGAGGGCAGGTGGTGGGCAGTGAGGGGCTGCGCTCTCCTCACTCGGCCTTCTCAGCCTGGGGATTGCGCCACAGCCTGTGCAGTTGGGTGCACATGGAGCAGATAGCTATAATGAGGCTGCCTCGGAGGATCTTTATACTCCTACTCACAGGGTTTCTGGAGAGGCTTCCTTTACTCCCGACTCTGAGGTGGGACCACTAAGGAGGATGGGGTCAGGACACACACACACAGCAGCGCTGTGCATAGCACACGGGCATGCCCATTCTCTCAGGGCAGCACCCACTCCTGGGTACGCATGACAAGGCAGAGGACACCAAGTCCCTGCTCCAAGACCCTGCTGGGAGGGAAAGGAAGTGGAGGAGACCCCAGTAGCAGCCTTCAGGGCAAGCTGCCACTCAGACACACCTCCCCCCTAATATCCTCCCCTCCCTCTCCTTCAGTGGAGAAGGAGAGAGGTTCTCTCCCTGTGGAATACCACCACTACCAGACCCAGTGTATGCATGGCACTGGGGACACCAAGCCACCCTGTCACCCCCATCCCTGCTTGTCCCTGGGTCATGGGGGAAGCGAGACTCCCCTTGAGGTCCTTCCAGTCTAGATAGCCTTGCTCAAAGCACATTGCCTTCATGGGACCCGAGACTTCCCGGCGTCAGCTCAGAAACGAGGGATAGGCTTCAGGCACACACTGTCTCTCGGGATGATTGCCCTTCTCTTTGTTTTTCACAGTTGGATTAGCTGTGAGTGAGACTCCCTGAACACCTCCTGACCCTATGGGAGCTGCCGCCACAGATGACCTTGTGAGGACCTTGAGTGGGAACACATGTCCTGCCCTATGTGGCCTCCAGTGCTCTCTGAACTGGCAGGACCAGCAATGGGAAGCGGACCAGGAGCTGTGCCATAACACCTGTCTGGAGCTGGCCCAACAGGCCCGTGGACCGCCTGGTCTCTCTGCCACAGAATGATCATTCCAGAAGCTCCCCTTCCACCTCCCTCGCCCCCCTCCCGGCCCACTCCTGTTTCCGCTCCTCCGGCTTCTCCCCTTAACTCCTCCTGTGGCCACCAAGGGCCCTGCTCAAAAGGTGGTGGGACCGCCTGAGGCAGGGGCCACTCCCAGCCCCATCCATGAGCTTTTCCTCCCCCTCCCAGGTTCTTTCCCCAGTCCCTCCCCAGTTACATTTACCTCAAATACAACAGTTCATTCTTTGAAAACAAAAGGTCTGGTTTATTTTCCTCAGAGGGGAAGGGGGGCTGGTAAAGAAGGAAAAGCACACTTGGGCACTGCAGATGCCCCTTGTGGAGAAGCCTCGGGAGAGTCTCACAGGTTCCCTTGTATGAAAATCTCCCTCAGGGCCTCTTGGATACGCACAGCCCCAATGGGCCTTTCAGATGGCAGCTGTGTACAGCTACTCAAAGGCCCTGACGAGCCTCTCGGCCTCTGCACTCCACCCTGTCAGGAACATCTCCCCTTTATTTTCACAGATATTGTGCAGGACACAGCAGGTTGACACCACTAGGGGGACATTCCATTTGTCAAGTTCCAGCCAGGTGAGGAAGCAGCAGAACCTCCCTTTGGGGCACCTTCGGGCGTCTTCCACTATCATGCAGCTCCTGCTGAGCCTGGTATTAAACTGTTCCTTTGTGGAGTCCAGGGGTACAGCATAGGGCTTCATAAGCCATGGGAGTATAGGGTAGGCAGCGTCCCCCACTATGCACATGGGCATGTCCACGTCCCTGACAGTGTAGTCGAGGAAAAAAGTGCCAGTGTACATCTTCTGGAACAGGCTAGAGTTCCTAAAGATGGGGGTATCATACACCTTCCGCAACCACCCGACATTAATGTTCGTGAAGTGGCCATGCTGGTCCATGATAGCATGCAGAAAAGTGCCCCTTGCAATTAAAGTAGTCGGATGTCTGATGGTCAGTAACCGGGACAGGGATGTGGGTGCCATCAATGTCCCCACCCCCCTGCAGTTGGGGAAGCCCATGGCAGCAAAGACGGTGACAGTGGGATCCACATCACCCAGGAGGATGAGCTGGCACAGCAGGATGGTGTTGATTGCTCTCACCACCTGTAGAAGGAGAGAAACAGGGAATTGCCAGAGCCCTTGGGAATTCCTCAAGCCCAGCCGCCTTCTCCCTATACCAGGACCAAACCTGAGCTTGCCCCATCCCCCGGCAGGGCTTTATGAAAGGTAGGACTGAAAAAACGCCTAAGGAGGGTACTTCCATCATTACCAACCCTCTCCCCAGGGAACTCCATTCCAGCAGTTCACCTCCCTCCTAATAACATCGTAAGAGTGCTATACCTGCATGACCATGGCCCCGATGGTCAATCTCCCCATGCTGAACTGGTTCCTGATGAATCAGTAGCTGTCCAGCATGATGAGCTTCCACAGTGCGATGGTGACCCCCTCCTAAAGGAGGATGGCAGGTTGCATGTGGGTGTCCTGTTGCCTGAGGACAGATGCAGGCCACTCACAGAGCTGCATGAAGGAGTCCTTCTGCATGTGGAAGCTCTGCATGTGTAGCCATTGCTGGTCATCCCACTGCTCCTTGATGATCCGGTCCCACCAGTTTGAACTGGTGGCCAGTCACCAGAAGCAGTGGTGCACAAGGGAGGCTGGGAGGGGCTGTACTGCATGAGCAGCACATGCAGAGAGGTGAGGATGTGACCCACAGAGAGCTGCGGGTCCAGATTCTGCAGTGCCACAAGAGCAGCCTACAAAAACTGCACCAGGAGGTGCATCATGAGAGTTAGGAGCTGGCGACTGCTTTCCAGCAGGTCCGGCTCCATGGCAGAAGTGCTGTGTGTCCACAAGAGCAACCAGACAGGCAGTGGAATGAGTTTGCTGTCCCTTCAGGAGGTAGGCAAAAGAGAGGAGCCCAAGACATGGCTATAGAGGTTTCTTTAAGCACGAGCCTCAGGAAGCAGCTACAGGAAGTGACTGCTGTCCTGATGCCTGCCTGAAGTGCTTCCAGGGGGCATTAAATGTGATTGAGGTTCCAATATGTGTGGACGCTCTATTTCGATTGGCATTTGTTGTGTGGATGCACTATTTTGAAGTAAAGAAATATACTCCAAAATAGCTTATTTTCTCTGTTGCAATTCTTTTCTCTGTGACGTCCACATTCGTAGTTTCCATTACGTGGCATAAGCTTTCTGTACCCTTCTAACACATGAAAGCATACCTACCTTCCCCACAACCTCAGTCAACTCCATTAGCTCTCCCTCCATAACAGGGAATGGTTCAGAATTGTCCTCTCTGTCTTAAAATGTACCATGAACTTCGTCTAGCTGCTCCCGTCCACTCGATTAACACTTGCCTGCTCTCTGTCTCACCACACAGTACCATCACTGCTGGCTGCAAAAGTGTTCTGCACCTCATGAACTTTGGAATAGCTTTCTCTTATATCCAACTATATGCACTTTCCATCTTATTTCAAATCTCAGGACAAGACCTTTTACTCCTATATATGGGCTTTTTCATTTCTTTCCCTCATATTTTTCTTTCTATTTTATCACTACAAAATTGGAAAACTGTCAGTGACCACTGAACTGTAAAACTGGCAAAGCATTCCGGGATATAGTTTGTATGACAGACCTACGAGACATGCATTGTATTTGGTATAACTCTTTCATCTATGGGCAGGACTGTCATTATTGAATGTAAATACACAAAATAAAGTCGTTCATCTGATAAATGGTGATTAAAATCCAATGGTCCCTTTCACAGGTCTGCTGAATACATATTACAGAAACACAGGCTCTTCCTAAGTTCAGTTCTCAGAAGGTTAGCTGTCCGAAACGTAGCTATGGCTATTCTGACTCACATGAAAATGTCCCAAAAGAAAAGCTTGTTTCAGGAGTTAAGAGAGCAACATACTCTTCAACAGAGTTCCTCACACTGTCAAGATGAGCACCACTGGCAACTACAGAAAGCAATGGTATTTATGCTTCCTGACCATTTTTGCTGCAGTTCTTGTCTTATATGTATCAGAGGGGTAGCCGTGTTAGTCTGAATCTGCAAAAGCGACGAGGAGTCCTGTGGCACCTTATAGACTAACTGAAGTGTAGGAGCATAAGCTTTCGTGGGCAAAGACCCACTTCGTCAGATGCATGTCTTATATGATGTTCGTTATTGAAAGCAGCCTTGGGAGTCCCAAGAAATTAAAGACCACAAGGAAAAAGAATACCCTCAATTCAAAAATGTACCCATCATTGACATGTAAGTTGCTGTAGCACAAGCATCATCGTTGCAATAGAAACTAGGTTTCTTAGGGTATGTCTACACTAGCCCCCTAGTTCGAACTAGGGAGGCTAATGTAGGCATTCAAAGTTGCAAACGAAGCCCAGGATTTAAATATCCTGGGCTTTATTTGCATCTTCCCGTCCGGGCACTATTTTTAAATCCCCTTAGTCCAAACTAACTGCCCGCAGCTACACGAGGCAGTCAAACGTTAACTCAAACTAAGTCATTAGTTCGAGTTAACTGTTACACCTCATTCCATGAGGTCGAATTCCTGTGAAGCACATGGTAGCTATAAGCCCTCTATGGAGATTGGCTTCAGAATCTAACTACCTGTAGCAGATGAGTAAGCTTCTGTGAACCTCAGACCCAAACTAGTCTTTCTTCAATTGGCTGCCTATTATTGGACTCCATCATTCATTCCGTATCTTAAGTGGGAAGGTCAACTAATCTGTTTGCAACCAGATCCCAGGATAAATTGGATACCTCTTCAGTATAGCTTGATTTGTCCATTAAAGTATTATTGAATGTAAGAATCATGGATATTATACATAATGCCTTAGATTAAAACTGAGAAAAACAAGCATATTTTCACTACATTCCTCCTGTTTTTGCATTTAGCATACCTCCCACTTGATACACATATGAACATTGATCTGTAGCAGGGAATCTGTTCTCCAATAGAATTCTGAATAGAACAGGTGCAGGGCACGTAAGGAGCATTCTTTTTGCCCTTCCCCTCTTGTCCTGCTATGCAGAGGCCAGCCACAGATTGACCTTCTAAATGAGTGCCAAGAACGGCACCTTGAGCGCATCTAAACTATGGGGTTTTTTTCGAAAGAGGATATTTTTTCAAAAGAGGATCTCACTTTCAAAAGAGGATCTTTCAAAAGTGAAAGTAGTCTGGATGCATTTTTTCGGGAGGGGGGGACCCTTTTAGGAAAAAAATGTGTAAACCTTTTTTAAGGAAGAGCTTTTTAAAAAGGGGGGGGGGGGTTCGAAAAACCCCCCACATCCAGACTACTTTCGTTCCGAAAGATCTTCTTTCAAAAGTGAGATCAGAAGAAGATAGCAAATTCCCACAGAATTTGCATATCCTCTTTCAAAAATTCTACCTATTCTAGACATAGCCTTAATGATTCCCACTACCACAATAGAAAGGGGAAGGAGTCAAGTATTAAAAAAAAAAAAAATGAAAAAAAATCCAAGAATTTGAATATGAATTCTCCAGAGCTAAAAATCAGACCCTTTAGATGAGCAAGGATGGTAGGGCGCAACTTAGATTTGTCTGACAGTCTGTAAATTCTTTGCTTTTACAGTATATTTTAAAACTCATTTAAATTTGGGCATTTGCCATTTTAGATGTGCTGCTACATAGCAAATTGGGTGCAATGAATCTTCTAATTTAGTATAAAAATGTAAATGTCATTCAGGAAAACACAAATCTGAAGTTCAACTATGATGAGATGACATTTGTGCCTCGTTAAAAAAAAACAAAAAACGATAAATAAAATTCCTGGTGGCTTAAGAAGAGAGAGAGAGAGAGAAGCATCTGCCTGAGTTAAAAATAAAGATGTGTCAAAACAATCCAGCAGTAATATGGGCACTGACACCCTGCAGAATACCTGTGGGTAGTTATAGTTTTTCTACTCTCATTTCTTACTTCCTGTGAGGTACTTCAGGCAGCTGCCAGATTAATTTTATGTTGTAGGAAACTTATCCTCAAAAGAAAAGTGCCCCACATTTCATTCTAAATAATATTTATTTGAAATGCTGTTTTCATGTACACTCACTCTTCAGTCTTGTTCCTGTTTTATTCCATCCTACTCTCTTACATATTAGCATGACATCTTGACATGAAAGGACAAGATGTCACAGCATAAGGACTCGATCTGAAGGATTTGAAATCTACTGTAGTCACTGAACTCATCTGAATAATCTGAGCCCCACACAACATATTTTTAAACACTGAACTATTTCTCGTTAAAGCTGTCTGCTATGACAATACCTTCCTCTTGTTTTTAAAGTTACAGACTTTAAAAATAAGTCTCTCTCTCATAGATATGAGAGAATGAGCTCATCTGAACAAGTGGGTTTTGCCCACAAAAGCTCATGATACTGTATTGTATATATAGTTTGTTAGTCTCTAAGGTGTCACAGGACTTCCCCGTTCCTCTTTTCAGTGTTCCCAATTTTGAGGACTTCTTGGGATCTAACAAATCTTTATTTTGCTGCACATATGCAGCATGCCATCACTAATAGGTATGAAATAAGCAAATAGTCTTTATACCAGACAGAGTCAAGGGGAAGAGAAATAATTACAGTGCCTGCAGTTCCTCTAAAGAAAGTCTTTTTACTTATTCTCTCTGGCTGTGTCTACACTGCACCCCTTTTCTGGAAAAGGGATGCAGATAAGACAAGTCAGAATTGCAAATGAAGCGGGGATTTAAATATCCCCCGCTCCATTTGCATGAACATGGCTGCCGCTTTTTTCCGGTTCGGGGCTTTGCCGGAAAAAAGCGCCAGTCTAGATGGGGATCTTTCGGAAAATAAAGCCTTTTCCGAAATGTCCCTTATTCCTGATTTTAAGAGGGATAAGGGACCTTTCGGAAAAGGCTTTATTTTCTGAAAGATCCCCGTCTAGACTGGTGTTTTTTGCCGGCAAAGCCCCGAGCTGGAAAAAAGCGGCAGCCATGTTCATGCAAATTGGAGCAGGGGATATTTAAATCCCTGCTTCATTTGCAATTCCGACTTGTCTCATCTGCATCCCTTTTCTGGAAAAGGGGTGCAGTGTAGACACAGCCTCTGGCTTCTATTAAATGTGTTTAAAATGTGCCTCAGTGTTCCATTCTTTCCTTCTAAAATAGGTGTTTTGCATTACTAGTATACAAGACCTTAGAGTATACTGCTTCACCTGCATCCGATTTGAGTGCTTGAGATTAGCTCTTACATAGTGCCTTTACCTACTTTCCATATAAGAATTGCTTCAGTCAAATCCAAAGTGCAGCTGCTTCTGGGGTGAAACAGCATCCATTTAATAGTGCCTGGAAAAACTTAACAGTTTAGGACAAGATGGATTTAAAAAAAAAAAAAAAAAAAAAAAAACACCACACCCGAAACTGGTAAATAATAGTAGCTACCCAGATTAGATTAAAGACATGTCATTGAGATGAGCAAACTACTCAGCTTCCCCCAGCTACCGAAAGTGGTCAATACTTCATTTTCAAATCTAATCTGAAAGATGGCCCCTTCAGCAGCACATTACTCCCTGATAGTACACAGGATGAACATTCTAAATACACAACCACTCCCCCATCACTCGAGGGTGCCAGACCTAGATATAGCCACAGGCAGCTTTGTTGTAGGGATGAAGAAAATTTCCTTTATAAACCACATGCAGTAGTGTCACATTCCACTTTGATAGAGCTATTAAGATCAATGGACTTATTGATCAATGGACTTATTACATCTATATAAAACCATGGTACTCCCACATCTTTAAAACTGCATACAGATGTGGTTGCCTCGTCTCAAAAAATATATATTGGCATTGGAAAAGGTTCAGAAAAGGGCAACAAAAGTGATGAGGGGTTTGGAATGGGTCCCATATGAAGAGAGATTGAAAAGCCTGGTACTTTTCAGCTTAGAAAAGAGGAGACTAAGGGGGGGGGGGAGGGAGAGGTCTATAAAATCGTAACTGGTGTGAAAAAAGTGAATAAGGAAAAGTTATTTACTTGTCCCCATAACATAAGAACTAGGGGTCGCCAGATGAAATTCATAGGTAGCAGTTTAAAACAAACAAAAAGAAGTTTGCCTTCACACAATCTGTGGAACTCCTTGTCAGAGGAGTTGAAGACTGGGATTCTAACAGGGATCAAGAAAGAACTAGATAAATTCATGGAGGTTAGATCCATCCATGGCTATTAGCCAGGATGGGTAGGAATGGTGTCCCTAGTCTCTGTCAAATGCTGGGAATGAGTGATAGGAGAGGGATCACTTGATGACTCCCTGTTCTTTTCACTCCCTCTGGGGCATCTGGCATTGGCCATTGTCGGCAGACAGGATACTGGGCTAGATGGACCTTTGGTTTGACCCAGTATAGCTGTTCTTATGACTTAGCTGGGGGAAGCTGAGTAGTGTGCTCATCCCAAGGATGACTGACCCACGAAGCCATTGGATCCAGCCTGCAGATCACCCTGACAGAATCTTCAAACACACAGCTGCCACGATTTAAAGCGCAGTCCATATGTTTCTCTGCTCTGCAGGGAGAGAGGAAGCGACATGTGATCGCCTCAACCCAATCCTCAGCTCCTATTGGCCGGTTGTTTTTGGCCAGTAAGAACTGACCTCAGCCAATCTCTCAGCTCCTATTGGCTGGAAACAGCCATCTAATCATAGAATCATAGAATACTAGGACTGGAAGGGACCTAGTCCTACTGGGGCAGCGCAACCCTCTTCTCCCACCCAGAGATGAGAGCCATGTGGAGGGTGCAGCCTGTAAGCCATCTGGGGCTGCAGCAGGCAAGGAGCCAAGCCTGCCTTGGGAGTGCTGCAGAGCTACTAGCCCGGAACGTCTTAGGTAAGCTGCTCCCAGCCAGAGCCTGCCTCTGGCACTCCAGCCCTGCCTACATCCCAACTCCCTCCCCCGGGTCACCATCAAAGCCCTCTGCACCCCATGCCCCAGGTCACAACTTCCTCCCGGACTCTGTACCCCCTCATACACCTCTCCTCCCAGGCCAGAATTCTCCTGCACCCATATCCCCTCCCAGAACCTGCATCCTATTTTCCTGTCCCAGAACCCCCTCCTTTACCCAAACACCCTCTCAGACCCCACACCATCTCCTGCACCCCAGTCCCTTACCCGGTGTACCCTGCTGCCCCCAACGTCCATCCTAGACCCTGCACCCACTCCACAGAAAAGTGCAGCCCTTGACTCTTACCAAAAATCTTGGAGTGGCCTGCCACCAAAAGTTATTACCCACCTCTGCCTGAATCCCTTACCCTAAGCTCCCTTTTGCACCCAACTTCCATCCCAGGCCCTTACATGTTCCCCGTTAATATAAAGGCAGAGTGTGGCCCTTGACCACTTACCAAATTCTTGGATTTGGCCCCCCATTAAAAATTATTGCCCTAATCAAGAGTCTAATGCCCAGTTATATGGCCTTAAAGGTATGTAGTGGGATGTTAGTAGTCTTATCGCTTTTGTTGGATTACCAGGAATCTCACATTCTGGAAGAAGAGGAGAAGCTAGAGGAGGAAACTCAACAAACACGTTTGGAATTTCACCAACAGTTAGTTGCAGAAATCCAAGAAGCTCTTCAGCTTGTGCAGCAGCACATGGAACAAGTGATTGGGCAGGCTTTGCACCAGCATGCTCGGCAAGAAGCTTCTAAGCAAAGCCCTGAGGGAAAGGACTTTAAGGTATTTGATCAGTCCCTAAGAGCCTTTTAGATAAAATGCAGGGACCCTCTAGTAATTTATCTAATGTAAGGAAGCATCACAAGTGGAAGAACTACAGTCTGCTATCAAATTTTACAAACACTAAATAAAGATGAATCTCTCTTTGGCTGACACATCCTGGCAGCCAGACCAGGTCCTATTAGGCCCAATTCAGAAGTATAAAAGAGCTGAGCTCTCTCTCCATGACAGAGAAAAATTGAGTAGGAGCACGTTGGGACCACTGCCCATAATCTGAGCCCCACAACACACGTTATTTTTAAAGACTGAACTATTCCTTATGAAAACTGTCTGCTATGCAGAGGAGGACTGAAGCACATTAGTGGGAAGCTTGCACTGCCACTATTCATGTTGTACTGTTCTGTGGGTAAACAGGGGATCCTATTTTCCAGACCATCAATCTGGCACATTTTGCAAGCACTGAAGTCACAGAAATGTACTTGCACGTACACACTGACAGTTAGAAAATGAAGTTTTCTTCATGTCTATTTTACTTCTTCCCTTAATAAATTAACAGCTACATGTACTGTGTATTGCAGGAGAGACTGATAGAAGCAGCTGTAGAGAGTGTATATGTAACCAGCAATGGTGTCAAGAGACTGGTACAGAGCTACTACCAGCAAATAGAAAAAATCATGGTTGGGCATGAAGACAGAAAACTTCAGCAACTGAAATCCCTGCAAGGTATGAAGAATAGCAGCAATTTTGTGGGGTTGAGGTTTACTTCAATGCCATTAATTTATGTTGGTATATGTGATGGTGCCCCTCCTTCACTACCAAGAGAACCTCACTCTCTGGCCAGTTCAAGTGGTTCTGCCGTCATAAAGGCATACCTGGTGGTTATCTTTTGCCAAGCTGTCTCCTTACCTAAAAAGCCCATGCATGCAACACAGGCTTGTGGCAATGACAGGCTTCCCTGAGCCCCAGCCTGGACTAACCCTCTGAGTTCCTTTTGAGATTCCTTCTCTGCCATCTTTGCTTCCTCTTCTTATAGTAATCCCCACCTCCATGACCTTGTTAACCCTGTGATTGCCACCCAGGTGCTCACAAGCTCCCACTAGAAAGTGTAGAATTTTCCTCTGCTGGGTCTGCAGCTGTCCCAAGTGATTAGGGTGCTGCCAATAGCATCGTGTTGCAGCATATAAAGATAACTGAAACATAACAGAGTGAAAAACAGGGAGTCAAAAAGTAAATGAGATTTGTAGAGCTACTTGCATCTTCAACATGCTAGGAATATAACAGTTATAGGCTTTGTTTTCCAAAACATTACCAGTACACCAAGGGTAAAACTTTGGCTGTACCAGATAATGGCCACCACCTTTCATTCAGTTTTCTGTGGTGAAGCATGTGATAGAAAGGACAGGCACTCCAATGCATTTTGGAGCCTGCGTTGTTGAACAGAAGCTATGCAGCAGTGTCTCCGTATTTCTCATTCTGGCTCTGATCCTAAAAGATGCTGAGTGAATGCTTCCAACTCCTAGTGCCTTTGGCCCTGATGCAGCAGTACATCCCTACTCAACTCTGACCTTAAACATCTGCTTGAGTCCCAGTGTCTTCAATAGGCCTGAGCAGCTGGGTACAGTTAAGCTTGTGCCAAAATGTTTTGATAAATAGGGATGGATTTAAGTATATACCTAAATGTTTTGCTTAAGCAGGGCCTTGAATATCACTCATATGACTGAGTGACAAAGGATGGAATGAGAGCTACCACTCCTAAGTAGAGTACCATGTCTAGTAGTTTTCTGTTGAGCATGTTGTCTGCATGAATCATGAATAACATTAATGGTTCAATACATCGGTATGACTGCTTACACACTATGGGAGATTTAAATATATAAGCAGCTGATAAAAATGAGATTTTGCTCTTTGTTTGAAGATCCACAGTTAGAGGGAAAATAACTTCATTGCATTACTGAAATGAAACCCTACTGGCATTATAGAGCACAAATTTATTTATGTTAGTAATAAAGGAGTTCATTAGACCCTCGATAATAGTATCTAGATTTGTGTGATCAAAGATACATCCAGTAGACAATCACAACAAACAAAAAGCAGTCAGAATATTGAAGACCCATGTGTTTTTTACTGCTATCCATCATAGGTTTTTAAAAGCTATGAACAACTACTCCTCTTGTGATTCTTGTTTATTATGTTAGGAGACAGAATTCTATAGTACTTACATCTACCCTGTACCACTGGCCATTAACCATAACCTGTCTGAGAAACTTGGAATTGGTGCATGTTTATCAGATGCTGCCCTTTGATATAGTACACTACCAACCTTGCATGTTACTTTAGTCTCCCTTAGCCCTATAACTCTTGCTTCTTGCTCCCTCCTTCTTGTTTTGTTTTTCCCCATATCTTACTGTCTATTCTAGGTCCAGCTGTGCGTGAGGTAATTCTGGAAACAGATGTCATCTTCTCCACTTGGAAGTCTGCCATACTATGTTCAGGGAAGGCTTGGGCTTGTATCACATGCTCCCCTGTACTTAGGAAGACAAGGAGTCTGCTACAGTGGCTAGCACAAGTGGGGCCTGTGCTCTTCATTAAAGCACAAGACTAATAAAACTAAGCTAATTTAGAAGTGTTGTCATACCAGAACCAATTAAGTCCTTCATATAGCAGGTCTTGCTTCTTGAAAACTTTCCAACCTAGTTGTTAGCATCAAGGACTTGTGGCTTCCAGAAGTCCAGACTCTATCCAAGGATGAGTTCTATGACCTGATGGAGTGATTTGACTTCCTTGTACAATGCTGAGTCTCCTGCAGAGGCTCCATAAGTAAAAAATAAATTCCCTACAAAACTATAACCTGGAGCCAAATTATGAGCCTTTCTGGTGACATGAATTACCACAAGACTGGAAAGTTTTTCAACCAATTATAGAAGAAATTCCAAAATATAAGTATTAAGACTGCCAATCATAATTAATGCATATGATTAACTAGTCACACTATTAATAATACCAAATGACATTTATGAATATTTGTGGAATTCTCTACATTTTCTATATTGATTTCAGTTCCATCACAGAATACAAAGTATACAATTCTCATTTTCTATTATTTCTGATTAACAATATATGCACTGAAAAAAATGATACTAGAAATATTTTTCAATTCACCTCATCCTAGTATTGAAGTGCAATCTCTTTTTTGTGAAAATATAACTTACAAATGTAGAATTATTTTTTTTTTTTGCTTACATAACTTCACTGGAAACAAAATAATACAATTTTAGAGCCCGCAAATCTACTCCCTGCTACTGTTTGTTCTGCCAATTGGTAAGGCAAGTTTGTTTACATTGATGTGAGATACTGACGACAACGACTAATTTGTAAATCATCTGACAGTGAGAATCGGTATTTGTGTGTCATTTTTGTAGCTGGTGTTGCAAGGTACTTACTGACAGATATGCTAAACATTTATATGCCTCTTCATGCTTCAGACACCATTCCAGAGGACATGCTTCAATGATGATGATGCTCATTGAAAAAATAATGAATTAAAGTTGTGACTGAACTTGAGGGAGAATTGTGCGTCTCCCGCTCTGTTTTATCTGCATTCTGCCCTGTATTTTATGTAATAGTCTCGGATGATAACCAAGCACATATTCATTTTAAGAATGCTTTCACGGCAGATTTGACAAAATGCAAAGAAGGTACCAATGTGAAATTTCTAGAGATAGCTACAGCATTCATCCAATGTTTAAGAATCTGAAGTGCCATCCAGTGTCTCAGAGGGACAAGATGTGGAGCATGCTTTCAGAAGTCTTAAAAGCAAAACACACAGATGTGGAAATCCAAAATCAACCTTCGGGTGGTGACATCTGATTCAGATGACGAAAATGAATGTGTGTCATGCTTTGGATCATTATCAAGCAGAAGCTGTCACCAACATAGACGCATTTCCTTAGGAATGGTGGTTGAAGCATTAAGGGCCATATGAATCTTAGCTCATCAGACACGTAAATATCTTGCAGTGCTGGCTACAACAGTGCCACGTGAATGCCTGTTGTTCTTGTCACCTGAAAGTGAAAAGCAGGCAGCATTATCTCCTGCAAGTTGTAACCAAACCTATTTGTCTGAATGATTGGCTGAACAAAAAGTAGAACTAAGTGGACTTTACATCTTATTAGTATTATATTGTTTTATTTTTGAATGAGAGTTTTTTGTACATAATTCTATACTGTATATGTAAATTTACCTTTCATAATAGAGTTCACTACTTGTATGAGATTAATTGAAAAATACAATTTTTGTTCTTTACAGTTCAAATATTTGTAATAAAAAATAAACATGTAGTGAGCACTGTACACTTTCTTCCATATTGTAACTGAAATACATTTGAAAATTGAGGAAAACACCCTAAATATTTAAAATAAATGGTATTCTATTATTTAATAATGAAATTGCATGATTAATCACGGTTATTTTTTTAAATTGCTTAAGAGCCCTTATAAGTATACATACAACTGCTGTGTAAAATGGTATTTAAACATTACACCAGCACAAACTGTAGAAAGGCTGGGATTGTATTGAATTGTGCTGGTCAGAAAATATAAATGAATATATTGCCACAATTCAAAAATATGACAAGATTTGTTATTTTGAGCCAAAAAAATTTACAAAAATTATATTTTAGCTGATAGGACTGAAAGTAACAGACTCAGAAAAAAACAAGAAGAAAGAGAACAGACATTGAAAGAAAAAATGAATCAAGGTACCCTGAACATGTCATCTGCAGTCCATCAAAGGTAAGAGCAGGCAGGAATATTACTTATTTTCAACCATTAGACCTTGTGAGTTGTTTCAGTTATGTGAACTAAGCTGTGATTAAATAATTTAAAATAACAGATCACAAAAATCTTGTTGACATTTGTGTGTGTTTTGCCTTTAAATGAAAATATTCTCAATATGCGTGTATCTGAGCTCAGAGAATTGGTCTATAACTATTAAATGTTTTGATATTCATTAATCACAGTACAAAAAGTAGCACATAAGATACTTGCTATCAGAACAGTGTTTTTTTAAAAAAAATTCAAGCCATGTGTTAACTTTTAGAAGTTCTATGAAGTAAATATAAGATTGAGACTGCTGCTTTCAGATGCATCATATTCCCTGTAATCTAGTTATAACACTGTAAGTACTCTTGTTCACTTGTGTAAATTTACATAGTAATTAAGACAAAATTGGGAGGGGAAGGGATCTTGAATAACCTTATTTAAAATGCAAAGGCAAGTACAGTTAGCATCCTGTGCTTTCAAAGAATCCTCCCAAGTCCCACAGGTTGAGAAACATAGCACATTTTCTAAATAGCACAAATAGAGCTATATTCCAAGAGGTAAAATAGTTAAACGCTGTTTAACTAGCTTGCTTCTTTTACCAGGATGTTGTTACAACAACAAAAATTCTTGGCTCAGTTTGATGTGCAGCAGCAAATTCGTCTGGACTCCCTAAAACGGAAGATACTAGCATTGCATCATCTAGAAACACAACTTGAAAATCAACTAAAGGTAAAACAAGTTGCAGGTATAGCTAGCTGAGGACTTGCTCCCATTGAAGTCAGTGGCAAAACCTTCTGAGAGACTCTGAAGTTTTTTCCAAAGCCCATTGAAGTCCAGAGAAAGACTGGATCAGGCTCTGAGTTTCCAAAAGCATTGTCAAGAACAGACCAGCTAGTGTGTTAAATCTGATCCTCCAAGGCTGTGTCCAGACTCAGGGGTTTTTTCGAAAAAAGTAGCCTTTTTTCGAAAAAACTTCACCTGCATCTAGACTGCAGCCGCGTTCTTTCGAAATTAAATCGAAAGAATATGGCTTTTCTTTCGACGGTGGTAAACCTAATTCCACGAGGAAGAACGCCTTCTTTCGAAAGTGCTCTTTCGAAAGAAGGCGTTTTTGAAAGCAAACAGGCTTTTTAGAAAGAGAGCATCCAGACTCGGTGCTTTCTTTCGAAAAAGCGGCTTGCTTTTTCTAAAGTTCCGCGTGCAGTCTAGATGCTCTCTTTCGAAAGAGGCTCTTTCGAAAGAGGCTTGCAGTCTAGACATAACCCTAGAGAGTATTCCATTAGCGCAGAGAAAAAAAAATGGTGAATGTTTTTGTTTTAATGTGTATTTTCCTCACTTCAAGTACCCTCTGGAACCAGTTGTGAGCATGCCCCACCCTAACCTATCACTGAGAACATTTCTGTTCCGCATCACTCACTCTTTGCTGAGCAAAAGCAGAGGACATAGTCTTCTTATTACTACTGCTGGTACACACTTTGGTTTACAGATGTGATCCTGGTGACTGCCTTGTTCTTCACACTTCCAAACCCACATGTCCCCTCCACGAGTAGAATGATTCCAAGTCATCCTGAGATGTTTGAATTTTGTTAGTATTATTCCCTTATCAAGTTTTATATGTCTCCCTTTGTGTTCAGCAAGCAGAACAAGATTTCATTACAGAGCTAGCTGCACTGGCCCGAATTCCACTCACAGCGTGCAAGCAACCTTTCAATAGAAGCTTACACTCAGGTTCGTAGTGAGATGCATGTTTGTTGGGATTTTTTTGTATTAAAAGTGCCATGAATGGTAAGGGTATGCCAATTTGCAAACCATTATAAAATTTTCATAAAAATGAAAATAGGCAATATGTTTAGCCAGTTAAGATTCTAATCCAGGCTGACAGAAGGCCTCATTTACAGGCCAGCATTTTTAAACATTTACCATCCCCAGATCAATGTACTCAAATGGAAAAATAGAGAGAAGGGTATTTTAAAAATAAATGCTCTTGTGGACCTCTCTTTAAATGTGCTGAGTTATGTTTCTAACAGAGGACCCTCCTAATCTCTTTCAAGCCCAAGACATTAATTTACTGGCCTTACTCCTGTTGTACCACATTGGAAAGGATATGCTGGAAGGCATAAACAGCAGCAAGGCACCCATCTCTCACTGAAAAAAAATCAGTGCGAGTTGAGGACATAAGCACCTTTGAAAACCTTCTTGAGTAACAAAGGGTTCCCAAAACAGTCATCTACTGCTTGTAGCTGAGAGTGGTGGGTTTTCCTGCTGGGTTTCATCTGGTAAAAGATCAGTGTAGGCACCAAATGAGATTCTGAAAACCTTCCTGAGTAGCAAAGTGTTCCCCAAACAGTCATCTACTGCTTGTAGCTGAGTAGTGGGTTTTCCTGCTACATTTCATCTGGTAAAAGATCAGTGCAGGCACCAAATGAGATTCTGATTGGAACATGCATCAGAGAAGAAGGAGAGAGAAATTCTGCTGAGTAGAGCTTCTGTCATGAAAAGTTACCATATCATTTTACACATTCATGTGAGCCTTACCAAAAAGGTGTCCAGTACATTAAGGCTTAATTATTCAGTCCAGAATTACATTGACACTTTCAGCAGCCTCTTCAAAAATACCTGACCATAAGAAAAGACTCCATTAACAGATTAGTTATTTGTGATCAAACGGGCATCAGAACTGAAGCACCCAGATCTCTTCACTAGATGGGGAAGAAGTAATAATCCTCTTTCATTCCACACTAACAGCCTAAAAAAAGTAAACTTCTTTGTACAAGTACAGTCAGGGGGGCTTTCTCTACTTACAAGAATTGTCCCCAGTGTGATGATCATGCCACTGATACCCAGTTTCCTGTGCTCTGGGGCTCCCCACTACCCTGTCCTGCAGGGCCTGATTCTTTGTTCTCCCCAAGACAAGGCACAAAGTTGAGGTTACCTCCCTGCAGAACAATAGACATTAAACTGAAACAGGCCCTCAATTATAAGGGCTCAACACATAGGAAACCAATCTGCAAAGGCAAACAAAAATCCAAATAAATCTATCTGTACAACTTTTTATACAGGGGCACAGGGAAAGTTCATAAGGTCGACCCCCTTTAATCAATGAAAGAGAGAGATGCACAATGGAAACTCAATAGTTTTGTTATCCTTCCCCTTTCCTCCCCCCAACAGTTATTTACACTGGGCTTGATAATAAACAAAAGTGATTTATAAATACAAAAAGTAGGTTTTAAATACTTTGATCTGTTTTACTTGCAAGCAAAAATTAGGTACAATAAACAAAAATAATGCTTAAACCACTGAAACTTAATACAGGCAAATTCTTACCCTAAAAAGCTGTTCTTATCTCAGAGAAAAAGCTTCAAGTTAGAGCTAATCTTTACTCTGCCTTGGGTCTACAGCTTTTCAGAGTTCTTCATTGTCAACTGCAGCCTTAATTAATTCACTGTTTCAGCTGCAAGTGCAGTTAAATGAGTGTGCAACCTCCAGGTTGAAAATCCCTGCCCTAGTTGAATCCATTAATCAGTTGCTGTAGTGAAATATTTAGGGTGAGGTTTCAATTAGGACTGTAAGTTCAATTGAAAGTTAGTGGCACTAATGCTCAATTAACTCACTGAAGCACTTTTGAACCCACTCTAATTCACTCCCTTGCTATCATTCTCCCCCAACCATTGCTTGTCCCTAACTGTGAGTGCAAAATTGGAGACATAGTGGAAGCCACACAAAAAGAATTAATGCTTAACATCAAAAGTGTGTCTATAAGTTCCCTTACAACTACCTTTGTTCTTCTATTTGACTGTAGCTCTTAGCAATCTCAATCTTAGTTTATCTGCTTAGAAACAAGCTAATTGTGCATGAAGACATTATGCCATATGCTAAAACATATTAGCCTTTGGTAAGCGTAAACAGACATACATGCCCACTGCATGGTAAGTCATAATCACAAGAAGTTACCATAATGATTTTAAATCACATTTCCATGCATTATCAGGAAAAAGCCAAAAAACAAAAAGGAAGAACTCCCACTCCTGGGGAAAAGAGGACTCTGGTGACATCGATGAAAAATGACCAGATGCCCCAGACACAGACTTCTGGATGAGTCAGGTATAACAGGAGCTAAAATGAGTGTCTACTGAAAATCATGTTTGTAATAACTGATACAAAATCTGTTTCTCAAGAAAGTACTTGATCTGGTAGAAATATATATATATGTATCTACAGTCTTTCCTTTTCTTACTAATATTCTTGTTAACGTAATAACACTCTTTTCTCCCAACCTTTTTAAATTCAGGAATTGTTTCTAAGCTGGGATCCTTAGTCTCTTTTTCCCTCTTTTTTCAAGTTTCGCTTTAATTTTAGTGAGAAATCAGAAGTGGTATGTTTCTGTCCAAGGTGTCTTTCTAAGGTGTCTTTCAATGTGTTTCTTATACATGGGGACAGATTCACAGTTGGTGTGATTCAACATTGATCTGTTGAAGTCAGTGGAACTATAATAATTTACAGCAAACAAAATCTGGACGCTGGTATCTAAACAATCATTACTGATTGTTTGGTACTGCCATGTGATTCTATGATTCCCTTTTTTTCCTGGTGCCGGTTGTTGGCTTCAGGGGCAGCAGCGCTGACATCTTTTACTATCAGCAAAATCACTATTTGAAACATCTGCTTGGGTGCTAATTACACAAAGAAAAAGAGGCTCAGACCTGAAACAAGTCAGCTGATTATTAGGGCACTACTGAAACTGACAGGCATTGCAAGTAGTTGCTTTTCAAGAACCATATGGAGCCTTTAGGAAGCATGACCTTGGGCTTGGATAGCTTTCAGAAGATGGGTCTTGTCCCTGATAGCTCTTCACCATGCTCTCATATACACTGCTTTTCTACAGCAAACAGAAGACACATTTGTAGCACAGGGCAGATTAATACCCTGCTTTGGCAGGCTTTTAATAAGTCAGTTGAAACCAGAAAGTGCAACCCCAATATTACTATGTAACAAACTCCCTTCTTGAAAAACAACAAATAGTCTGCTGGCACTCTAAAGACTAACAAAACATGTAGATGGTATCATGAGCTTTTGTGGGCACAGCCCACTTCTTCAGATGACATGTTTTGTTAGTCTTTAAAGTGCTACCAGACTTTTTGTTGTTTTTTAAGTTTATCCTGTCCACACTAACTCAGCTAACCCTCTGAAGCTTTTAAACTCCCTTCTGTTATTAAAGTGAAATGATATTTTACAGTGAAGTCAAAGGCAAGGAGAATGTGTGTGAAATTTTATGTTGTTGGGTTTGTTTTTTAATCAGAAGTAGATTTGGAGAGGCAGCATGAAACTGAAATTGATCAAGAATTCAAAGATGCCCAAGAAGAGATGCAACGTGTAGTGGAAACAGTCCTCAGAATTGTTTGTCAAACTGAATGTTGAATCCCAAAGCATTTTTTTTGTGTGGGCAAACTGAACTACTGCAAATATTTACTGAGTATTGGATAACAAATAAGAACCTCATTAAAAAATCTAAGAAATCTCATTCCACAGTTAAAAAGCAGTATAAACAAAAATACAAAAAATATGTCCTACCATATGGAGATACAGCAAGTAGCCATCTTCCTTGGGCTGATAATGAAACATTCCCACTCAATTCTAAATGGAAGAACAGGAAGTGAGCTCTCTCCACCAACAAGAGCCCTGAGAGAGGATTTTTTTGTGTGAAAAATAGCTGGGTTTGCCGAAAGTCTCCTGCCCTTTAGAATCAAGAAAAAAATAAAAGGGAGGAACATTAAGGAGGGTAGATTCAGCTACAACACCTGATCTGTAGGGCCTCCAGATGGAGAACTTATTAGAGAGGGGAGTCTTCTAGCTCTTTGGCCAGCCAGGATCCCATTCAGGAATTAGAGTTCCAGATTAGCATAAAAACACGTGTCAGCCTTTGCATGGCAATGCTCACTCTTAGAAGTCTATGTCTTTAGTTTGAATAAAGATTTGAGTACGTATGTTAAAGCCTCAAGCAAACTCAAGCCTACCACATTAGGCAGTGGTGCAAAGATCGGGGAGGGAGGTCTCTTTCTGGCAAGGCAGGTGATGAGAACTTAGCGTGGAGAAACAGAAGGTACATTTGAAAGGTCAAGCTGCAAAGTGAACAAAAAATCATTGGAAAATGTTGACTGATAATCAGTATTAGCAGTAAACATCATTAAAACAATGAGGCACGAACACAGCACAGCGCTCATTGCCCATTCACTGCAGCTCCCATTAACTTCTAAAATAAAAAAAATCAGGCAAATAGATTCAAAAGACAAGAAGTCCCGTGGCACCTTAGAGACTAACAAATATATTATATCATGAGCATTCATGGGTTAAAACTGTAATTTCCAGTCCAACTCATCTGATGAAGTGGATTTTACACAAGAGCTCATGATATTTTTGTTACTCTTTAGGTACCACAGGACTGTCCCTTGTTTTAAAAGTTACAGACTAACACAGCTACCCTTCTGAGATTCAAAAGAGAATGCCAGATCTAGAGAAGCAGCCCATTCACAACTTCAGCTGAAGTCAAACACTCAGCATCTCAGAAAAATCAGATGAAGACAACAGTTGAAAACCTGACACATATTTGAATATGAGATAGTAGAAGAAAACTTAAATCTAGGGGAAACCTGTGACAAAGTATCTTGTTCCCATAAGCTTGGTCTACGTTGCAGGATTTTGCGCAAGAAGCGTTTTGCAGAAGAGATCTTCCACGAAAACTTCTTGCTCAAAAGCACGTCACACCTCAAAAGCGCATTGCAAAAGCAATGTGCTTTTGCGCAAGAGTGTCCACGCTGCACGGACACTCTTGCACAAGAAAGTTCTGATTGCCATCACAGTATGGCCATCAGAGCACCTGTGTTTTTTGTGATAGGCTCTTTTTGCGCAAGAAACCCCTGTTGAGCATCCGCACACACCTTTTTGTGCAAGAACTCTTGCACAAAAAGGAGTTATTCCTTGTGGGGAGAGGAATAACTCTACCAGAAAAAGCCCTCTGTCCTGTAGGTTTACTGGTTTTTTGTTTTTTGGGGGGTTTTTTGTTCAAAAATGCGCTTGAGGTGTGGACACTCCATGAGTTTTTGTGCAAAAATCTGTAGGGTAGACATAGCCATAGAAACTGAAGCTGCTGGAAGGTACAGCCCTGTTTCTAGAAAGGGCTCTTTTTGTGCAGTAATAGTACATAACATTCAAAGAAACAGATATTTAAGTCATTGGTACTAAGTTGAGATGACTGTTTATTTGGGCAGCAGAACCCAACCTCTGCCATTATGAGAGACAGAATGAACACTGCTGAAGAACATTTCCTCCGTTAGTCCTTTCCTAACTTTACTTTATTCTGAGGTGCTTCATTTATTTAGTAGAACCTAAGGCTCTCAGGTCCTTTCCACCTAGCACCCCAGTTTAGATGCTTCCTTCTGAGTAAGCAAGAAAAAAAAGGAAGCAATAGTCCAATTCATCACTAAATAGCCCTCCTCAGAACTTTTGGCCATGGCTTTCTGGCATAGCCTACTGATCTCCCTATGGCCTTTCATATTAAAGGCCAGCATGTTATATGCTTCTTGGCTACATCTACACTGCAGGCTTCCTGCACTAAACAGCCATTCTTGCGCAAAAACTTGCGGAGTGGCTACACTGTACGTGCGTTCTTGCACAAGTAAATTTACAGTAAAGCGTCAGAACAGAGGGCTTCTTGCGCAAGAGTTATTCCTCTCCCATGAGGAATAAGCCCTCTTGCACAAGAGCTCTTGTGCAAGAAGGCAGTGTGGACGGGCAACAGGGTTTCTTGCGCAAGAATCCCTATGGCTAAAATGGCCATCAGAGCGTTCTTGTGCAAGAGAGTGTCTACACTGCCATGGACGCTCTTGCACAAAAGCACCTCTCTTGTGCAAAAGCACATGGCAGTGTAGACGCGCTCTTGTGCAAGACTGCAAAACTGTTCTTGTGCAAGAAGCCTGCAGTGTAGACGTAGCCCTTGTGTAGGGCCAATGAACAAGGACCACCTGTCAAGCAGTATACATGTTTGACCCCTTCTCGACCTGGCTTCCCTGATCTAGTATGTAGAGAAGGGTAATACGTTTTATTACCAAGGACCAAATTAAGGTGCTTTTACCAGGGTTGGGTTCTCTCTATGAATTCTGAAAGGGACATCACAGTAGCCTTTCCCAGAGACTAAACCAGTGTAGAAATGTTCAGCATAGATAACTATAATTATAGTTCCAGGGCCAGAGCCTGAGCTAGCATAAATTGATGCACCATTATATCAAAGTCACTGGTACTATGCTACCATCTGGCTCACAATAATTAGGTGAAAGGTTGATGCAGTGGCACAATGTGGAAATTATTATCATTAAACAAAGAACGTTGCCATTATTGCAGGTGCCAGTTCCATTTAGCTTCAATGTAAGCGCTTATTTTGTGTGTTTGGGTTTTGCTGAGTGGCTCTCATACTGTTGGCCATGGGACATTCAGAGCTGGTAGCATGCAGGGTGCAAGCAGCTGGTAACCAGGTTGGTTGAAGAAAATAAGAATCCATTATAACTATGCTGATTAAAATTATACCAAAGAATATACATTTGATGTGCTAGTGCTTAATATTTTAAAATGACTGATTAACAAAATCAATGCAAGTATAAATGGTATTTTAATGGACATGAGTAAATAGCCGTGTACTCGGATTTGATCTGTTTTATTTTATTTTGACTCAGTGTTTATGTATTGCTGTTTTTCTTCATACACCAAAGCTGTGTCTAGACTGGCAAGTTTTTCCGCAAAAGCAGCTGCTTTTGCGGAAAAACTTGCCAGTCTAGACACAGCTTTGGTGTATGAAGAAAAACAGCAATACATAAACACTGAGTCAAAATAAAATAAAACAGATCAAATCCGAGTACACGGCTATTTACTCATGTCCATTAAAATACCATTTATACTTGCATTGATTTTGTTAATCAGTCATTTTAAAATATTAAGCACTAGCACATCAAATGTATATTCTTTGGTATAATTTTAATCAGCATAGTTATAATGGATTCTTATTTTCTTCAACCAACCTGGTTACCAGCTGCTTGCACCCTGCATGCTACCAGCTCTGAATGTCCCATGGCCAACAGTATGAGAGCCACTCAGCAAAACCCAAACACACAAAATAAGCGCTTACATTGAAGCTAAATGGAACTGGCACCTGCAACTATAAATGTTATTCTTTGTGGCTATCTCAGAATTGTGAATTATTCTCGAAATGAAGCAAGCTATGTTGTCTGTTATATTTTTACATTCCCTAGGCTTTCAACATGCCTTGTCATAATAATTCATTTTTTGCTTCCCTTTTTTAAAATTTAGTTCCAATTAGCTTATTGATGTCGGCTGCATTCAGTACTTAAATAATGCATTTAACTATGTTTTTATCATATAAGATGTGCCTTTAGTTAATCAGTTTTAAAACTTTCATTAAAAGCACCTTTTTCATTTTTAAATAAATTTATATTTTAATAATCACAACAGTGTCTATTGTTCTGTGTAATAAAATACAATATAGTGTTTGCAGTTAATTTGAGAAACTGGAATAACCGGACCATGCGCTGTATTAAACATGTAAATAGGTTAATCATCGTGTCAATCAAGATCAGGTGTTTTGCTCTACTATTTCAGTGGATTGCTGAGCTTCATGTTCATATTTAGCTAGCAGCTTTCCCTTTCACTTACTGATTTCTCAAATGTTTTTAAAATGTTGGAACGTATTTGCCCATATCTGAGTAGTGTGGCCCTGTTGCTCACCCTCAGTTCTCAGTACTATGCAGCTAGCAAGCATGCAGTGTTGAGTGGCACATACATTTTATACACTATTATAAATTATACAAGAAAGATGCAGTATCCCATCACTATTTATATGTAGTTTCCTAGTCTCATTGTATCCGTTGTGACTCATTTAATCAAAAATGATTGAATTTAGTAAAAAAAAGGCTGGAGATGGCTTTTTTTTTTTTTTCAGGAAAGTGTAAATGTGTAATAGAATGACCTTAAAATCTAGCCAACAGTGCCCCCTTATGGCAGTGAACATAGTCATTCTTCAGTCTGATGTAATGTGCCACTTCATTTGCACTTTCAGTGTGCTTTATTTACATCTCTCTGCTGACAGAGGGGTGTAGTGTAGACCTGTAGAATCAGATTCTGTAATAGGGCTAAAGAGAGCAAATGCAGGGGCACATCACCTTTTATTCCCTGTCTCTTAACTAATTATATCGGCCACCTCCCTCTCATAAGACAGTGAAGCCTCAGGGTTGCTCTAATTTATACCTAACTGCCATAACAACTCCAGCAGCTGGGCCCTAGGGATAGCTCAGTCATCTACCCCTCCCCTTGTCCTTATCCCCAGAAGTGCCATCTGGTTCTTTTCCACACAAGGAATTTTCTCATTTCCTAATGTAGAAAATTATTCTGCTGCCTAATAGGACGATTCCATTCCTCCAAATACTTTCTTACTAATCAACTTAAAATTTCCTCTTCTGAGTGTCAACTCAGTCCTAGTTATTTCTCCTTTGTTTCATGTTAAATATCCCCTTTCCTTTTATCATCTAAAGAAGTGGATTGTGCCCATGAAAGCTCATGAACTATCTATATTTTTTGGTTAGTCTCTAAAGGCACTACAGGATCATCCATTGTTTTTTCTTTGGTGGTGACACTCATCCTGTACAACGAGACACTAATTAACTGCCCACTGTCACCTCTCAAGAGAAATCCACACCTGTGCAAAGGATGCTGCATCACATAAGCCCTACCTCAGTTTTGTTTTGACAGTGTGACTGGCTCATAGTCCTTTTGCTGGCTCTATGCACAAGCGTGAATGTTACCGTTTTCCTATTACAGCATTCAGATCTCTTCTTCACACTTCCCCATGATTGTCTCAAATAATCTAAGCAGAATCTCACTGTTATCTTCTGTCCATATTTCTAACCTCACAGTCTCTTTGCATTACTTCCCTGTTTTCATGTCCGAATGCAATATAATCTACAAAGGTCATTAGTATAGAATCTTTGAACTGACAGGACCATGAGTGGTCATATAGTCCAGCCCTCTCTGTTATGGCAGAACTAAGTATATATAGAATGCTATTTACCCTTTCTCATGTGTCATCAACCGGGATCTTAAACAAAACCATGCCTGTGGACTTCTACTTGAGCCACACCCTACCTCACAACATCATTATATATTGTTAATCCCTGTGACCATCCGATAACTTGCAGTCCCTGTTAC